TTTATCTTTCAATGCATAATCTAATATTGTAAATTAGATTATTATTATTAATAGTAATAATGAGAAAACAGTAACATGTCCAATGAAAATATACGTATACTTGTATACAGTTCTTCTACCTTCTAGTAAGCTTTCTTCCTAATGTCTGTTTAATTTTTTCTGTTTTATGCTAGAATACAAGTAGTACAGAAGAGCCTTATGTCATTAAGTAAAATGTCAAGGGCTTTTTGAAACAGTGAAGATTTAGGCTTTTTTTATCATAGCTAAATAATTAGCATTTACCGCTTAAATGTCTAATCTAAATCATTAAATAACTCACTTTGAAACCTTGTACTTATTATTTCCAAGTTTTTATTGTCTTTAGTACAGACTAATGGAGATGTAGGGCCCATATTTCTCAAAAAAAAAAGGTTTTATATTGTATATACAGTACCCTATTAAAGCTATCTAAATTGTTTTTTCTAATAAACTAGATTAAAATCTAGTCCATTGTATTATGATGCTTCCAACAGAAACAGTTTTCTTATTTATTTTTATTTTCCTTTGGATTAAAATTTGTCAGAAAATGGATTTTCATCCAAAAATCAATTCAGTATTATTAAAAATGTTCTAAATTTGGAGAAAACTTAAAAATTCTGCATTTTTGAAAGTTTTCTGTTGTTTCTTGAATCACTATCTTTCAGTAGAAGGATTTCTTTCTTAAGGGTAATTGATTTTGTAGTACAAAAGAAAAAAAAGTTTTTTATAGAACAATCTGTGTACAGAAAATATGGCCATTGACAGACTGTACAGAGGCAGATTGATTTGTACAAGATTTGTACTCTTCTATACATCAAGGACGCTTTGTCAAAATTTATATTGGCTTTAGTAATTTAGATACCCTTGGTTATATCCCCTAATGTTATATTCATGAACTGAGATATAGACTAGAAATTCTTCTTAGGATAGTCAGATAGCATAGATTCTACACAGCAACAAAGATGGATGCAGATTTCTATTTCAATGCCAATCTAGCCTCCACAGGAGTTTTGGAGGATGTTAAACATATTTCACAGTAACTCACTGTACTGCATTCTGCAAAATCTGTAATTAGAGGATTCAAACAGTAATCTAGAGAAAATGTTTTTTTTTCCTTAGAGATCCTCCAAAGACATTACAGAGATTTTAAATTTTTCTTTTTTTTTTACCTCTTTTAATATCACAAATACCAGTAAGATGGCAAAGAACAGCCTGAATGCTTCAGTCAGAGGAAAGGGATATTCCAGAGCCCATCACAATCTATTAGCAGATCAGAATATTTATGTCGATGACTCTTCCGTGATAAATGCTCTCCCACTCAAAGATACAAGCACAGATTTCTAGGACAATACAACCTGGAAAATCATACTTAGATACAACGCTGTTGAAAGATTTTTTTGTGATGCAATGTTCTTCGAAGTGGTACAAAGCATGCTGTCTGAGATCATATGTAAGATGCATGAAGATGCCTTGCACTGAGAGAAGGATTTTGTTACAGGCTTCTCACAAAGATGCTGTGATCTTGTGAGAAAGCAAAGGCACGCTATTCTGGAACAATTAGTACTAACAACTAGCTAAGCCTCTGAGCTTAGTTTCAACATTTCTTGTCTAACTGCACTGTCTTCCTGAGAGATTACCGTGCCATGTCAGAGAGCATAACATGGGGGGACAATCAGAAAGGAGAGTCCTTCTCAGGTGAATGGGGAAATGGAGGAAGCTAAAAGCACGTGAGCTGAGCAAAAAGCATCAAGTGTCCTGAGAGAGAGATTCACAGAGAATCAATGTACACTGCAGTGCAGTATTAGGATGTCAGTGGATAACAAGATATAAGAAAGCTAGAGTTAGAAGAGGTGGAGAAGATTACAGTCAGGGAAGAAGCATAATACAATCAAAGCTCAGAGAGCCATGGAGAACGGATCTGTTCAAACTACAGCCAGCACCAGCGTCCTCCCTAGGTGGCAGCATCAGAGTAACAGCCAAGCTGAGAGCACTGCTTCCAGGTCCTTATGAGAGCTCCAGAAAAAAATAAGACAAAGAATTTAAAATTAGTTATTTTACTTCATGGTAAAAAACAAGATTACCAAGCTTGGAATACAAATAGAAGTTAAGTATCAAGGTCCTTCTCTTCACAAATTCTCTTTCTCTCTTTCTCTTGTTTATTGTTATGGGATGTTTTGTTTTGTTTTGTTTTCTGTTCTGTTCTGTTCTGTTATCTTCTGTCGGTGACCTGAAACTTCGGACTCTTCAATGATCTTTGAGTGTAGGATCTCAAGACAGGAGTGCTTTTTGAAAAGGGTCAAATCACTGTGAAATACGCGAGCAATGATCTGTTCTTTTCCCTTCTGACTGGATGGGTATAAAGCATTTTGGTTTCTGCCCAGGAGACATCTGAAAAGTTCAATTCACATGCACGCGCTTCAATACAATTTATTGCATACTCCTAGAATATACTGAACAAAGTGGGATTGTCTTCCATAATCACCTCTTTTCCAAAAGATTTACTGTGGAGGTGAAGGAAGCAAAAATGGCAATGACAAGGCGAGAAAGGTTGAGATTTAATACATAGTAACAATATGCTGTTTTTCTAAGACCTCACGAATTCAGCAGAGCATAATTTCTACTGGGCATTGGATGCTGTCCAGGAAAAGCTTTATCTTTGAAAGTATCAAATCATCTAAAAATGTTAGAGACATCTGGCACATAGACGGCCACAGTTTTCATCTTTTCAGAAATCAAGAATGGACCAAGATTACCTAAGAAGGCCGTGGTGAAACAGGACAATAGCAAAAATATCTCAACCTAGAAAAAGAGCAAAATCTTTTTGGCTTTTACCAGCTGCATGGTTTTGTATCTGGTGTCTGAATATCACTGAGTTGGAAAGCCTAGGGACTAAATAGATTGGTTTCATAAATTATCTGTGTGACAACTGTTCTGTAACTTCCTACGGTTTTACGTTTTTTCAGAGCTGATTGCTTCTGTCAAAGGCTGGGCCAGTCCTTCCATGTTATATAAAGTACATTTCTCAATTAACAAATACTTGTACTTGTTCCATATTCTGAGAACTTATTATACTATCTTCAGCTATATTTATGATAAGAAGAATCTTTTGTTTCAATCTGTCCCCTCACCTGACCAGAGAGGTTTACTGAGGTACCCGCCACAAAGTTACGCAAGCATTAAGAATTTACAGACAGCTGTCTCTTCAACTGCCTCAG